CTTGTTATACGAGCATGGAAACCATATAGTTTAAGAATAATTCAATCGTTCCCGTTGGAAAATGAATTGCTATAAAGTGTGCGAAGTTTGTTCATCAACAAACTGAGTTTGGCAACGGTCCTCTTATACGCAGTCATCTCATAGTAGCCTCCCTTTGAGTATAAGGAGTAAAGGAGAAAGGACAATTTTCTGAGTGTTTGTCGCTATAAGGGTTTTCTAACCGCAGTTTGACCATATCAATCGCAGGCCCTAAATGCTGCCCTCCGAACTGGTACTGCTGTTGACACTCAGAAAAAAATGATGGCAGGGGGAAACCGACAGCATACGGCCAACAAAAACACGCTCAGGTTTGTTTCATTTGTAATTCAGTCATTTTGTCACTTTGAACTTGGTACAGATGCTATTATGAGACTTTAGACTTGACGAAGAAACGGAGGAGCTACACCATGAACGAGTAAGTTTGTCGTTAGGCAAAGCAATGCAGCAAGCGCGTCAAGCTAAGGAGTGGACTCAAAAAGATCTTTCGACAGTAAGTAAAATTTCTTTGTGTAGTTCTTCAGTTTTAAAAGTAAGTCAATGATAGGCACACAAACTTTTTTACTTTTTGGACATTTGCATAGACAAAAGCTATTGAATAGCTCATTCTGTCATAGTTTTATAAGCAGTTCAAAAAGTGTTAATTATTATTACCGTATCATAGTTTTATAATCATGTTCGCGTTTAAAAGGTGTATTATCATTACCATGGTAATCTCGATTTCATTCTCAATTATGGCGCATCGATAACGATTTGTCACGTAGTCATTTACAACCCATTGCAGTGTCTGATGATATACTATGAAGTAGTTATGAACTCTTGAATACAAATGGTAAAATTGAGAAATCTTGAAGAGAATCCTCGGTCATAAGTAAATGTGGGGCGTGGTACCAACTCTGTTAGCGGAATGAATTTGCATTCTCGATTCAGTCATTATTGCGCAAAGACTAAGGCGGTGATAGGATTAAGGTGACACCCAATTATATAAAGAACTACCATATTTTGTTTGGTAATATATCAACGATCCGTGATAGCTTAAAAGTTATTTACAAGACAATGCGAACTCTTTGTTATGAAAACGAGGAAGCAAATTAGCAGAATAGTTTCATAACTTGGGAATTTTTCCTTGAGCAGTGAAGGAAGAATGTCTCTGTGAAGAGATTTCTACCTTTCCTTTAGATGGAGTAACTATTATCACTAGAAGCCTCAGATACTAGCCTAGCTAATTAGGGGGTTTTCTGAATATATCTGTTCATGCTTTATTTATTTTTTTCGCAGTACTAGCATAGAGGAGCTTTTTGCTCATTGGCGATAGACATAGAAACAGAAACTGGCTGGACTTTGCTTTTTGATCTTTAACCTCTTAGAGTGACAACTACAAAAACTACAGTATCTACATTGATTAAACAGTTTTGTTAACGCTAGTAGTACCATTCTAAAGTTCGGGCCAAGCAAAACACGTGATTTACACTAAAAACATTGACTAATACTTTTTGGATGAATTTCACTTTTATACTTTTATAATTATCGATTCTACATAGGT